ATCTCCAAATATGCCTATATCTATTTTTATTTTAATTATTTAATTATTTATTAAATTATGAATAAAATATGAGTTTTAATTTTTTCCAATTATTTTTGATCCATACTGTAAATTGAAAATTTGATTTAAAATAGCAAAAGTTTTAAGAATAATATTAATTCTTGAAATTTAACAATGGTTTGCTTTAAAAGATTTAATAGCTAATAACAGTATCAATCAATAATTAAAAAAAATAAATAACTTTTTATATAGAATTTTATTTCTATTTACAATTTTATTTTAAATAATTACAGTATATATTCATTAAGAGATAGTATTTTATTTTTTTAAAGTTTTTGTTTTTTTTATTAATAATAAGTAATAATAAGTTTTTCAAAATCTTTTAATTAATTATTAAAAAATTTATCAAAAAATCAATTTCAATTTTGATAAAAGATTTTTCTTATTGTATTATTATAATATTTGAAATATAATTATAATAAAAAAATCAAAACAATATAAAAACATATTAGATCAAAAAAGTAAAAGATTAATATCTTGTATAGATTTGATAGAATTATAAAAACCATAATCAAATTAGCAATTCATTATATTATTTTTTCAAGTTTTCAAGTTATAATATTTACTACTTTTAACAAGTCAAAACCTTATTATATAGTAAAGATATTGATCTTCGAATATAATAAATAGTAACTACAATAATTTTTTAAATTAAAGTTTTTATAAAGTATATTTATTTATTAATTAATGTTTTATATAATTACCATTGTATTTGTTTTTAAAATATATAATACACTGTATTAGACTTGTTAGATATTGATAATATACTTAATAATTTTTTATTTATCGATTATTGATAAAATAGATTTTTTAAATTAAATATCATAATAAATTTTATTGGTATATTTAATAATTGTTGGTTAAATTTAACAAAAGTTCTATTAACAATCAAATTAATTAAAATCAACTAAAACCAGTATTTAGTTTAATATGCATTCTAAATTAATTTCGTAATATAATTTAAACCGATAAAAGATTTATTTATTATTGTAAATACATGTCAAATTTCATTTATGTTATATTCAATAATAACTGCGATGATATGTATGCATAATTAATTTGTGTAAAAATTCAATTATAAAAGTAATTTTTTTATAGATGGGATTTATTTTTTTTTTTATATGATATTGAAAAAAACCAACATATTAATATTACTTTTTTTCAATAAAAAAAATTGCTTAAAAATTTTTATTATAAATTATTAAATTTATGCATAATAAAATTTTGTAAAGATTTTGTACATTATTATACACAGCATATTAAACAACAATACCGGATTGTAAGACAATTTATACTGTAATTAATAAAAACTGATTTATAGATATACTGTATATTTATTTTTTCTCAATGTATGCAATTTACCTTTAGTTTTAGGTAATTGTTCAACACTTTAAAAATGAAAAAAATTTCTACAAGTTGAATAAAAAAGAAATAGTTTGCATGCTTGATATTCCGGTGAGGGCACTTATTTGGAATTTAAGATTATTTTTTTCGACATCGTAGTTAACTGTGTGGTTGATTCGATGCTAAAATGTCAAATTCTTTGAAATCATTTGTAGTCAAAATGTCAAAATATAATATATCATATATTCCATAGTAAGACATTCACATTCGACAGTAGTATATACAAGAGTTCGTGTAACGGCCTGGGAAATACCTTTTTTAAATATATATAAAAGAGATACATGCTACCAGAATAATAAAAGAATACACAATGACATCAATATGATTATATTATATGAGATAAAATTTTCTATACATTATACAATCTAATAAATAAATATCCACTTTGTTTTTCGTCCAAATTTAACAAAAATTAACGAAGCCTAGAGTTATTAAACTATCGAGGAGCATAGTGTTGTGACTGTTGATTCATATAATTTGGTTGAAATTCATCTGGAATCGGCGGTTGTCGTGTTTGAGCGTTGTTCAAGTAATTTGGTTGAAATTCATCGGCCCTCATATTGTGAGCGTAATTTGGTTGAAACTCATCGGCTCTCATATTGTTAGCGTAATTTGGTTGTAACTCATCAGCTCTTGCTGACGAGCTTGGTATTTGAAGTACACCATCCGGATGGTCATATTCATTATTTTTTCTGCGCCTAATCAGTAAGAAACCAATTACTGCACAAAGGAGAACTCCGCCAACGCCCGCACCGGCAACAATTCCAATTAAAGTGACTGTCGAGATAGACGAACTACTTGAAGCGGTATTGGTTGATGTAGGTTTGGAAGTGGAGGTGGCAGATGGGGATCCTGAGGTGGACGTTGAATTCGTAGAAAAAGATGTTGTCCAGGTATATGATTTTGTGTCAAGTACGTACAGGGCTGAACTAGTGCTCAATGGAGGTCCGGTAGGATTTGTAATGTTTCCTATTTGATTAAATCCATTAATTTATGAATTATATAGAGATAATCCAGAGTAAATTGATGCTTACCGAATGCGATTATCATAAAATCGTTAACTAAGTGAGCGGAATGAAGAACTAATGTTGGTGGGTATTTTCCGCTGACCGTCGGTGCAGACCACGAGAATGGGGAAGATGTCGTATTCAATACGATAAGTTGTGGAGTAACGGCTACGTTATTCGCATTTGTTCCACCATAACAAATAATCAAACCATCCGGTGCTGTAGTTAAAAATAGGTGTTTAATATGATGTCATACACGTCATAACGGGAATTATTTAACAAAGTTAACTTGCTTACGTACATAAAACAGACGAATGCTGATAGCGACTTTCAAGTGTCGATCCACCAGAAGCAACCTACGGTGTTGACTATTATTAATGTACATGACAATTATCCGTTTTAATTTTGTATGTTTGAGCTTTTAGATTGTACTCACCACTGAGCCCCACACAGAAGACTTTGTATCATAGGTGGTAATCTGAATAAAAACAAAAGGTGGTATTAGATTATTTCTAAAAAAAAAAAAAAAAAAAATCGTAAAACTTCAATTTTACGCACATTACTCAAGGCCACAACTTCGGATGTTGTATTAGTGGTAGCCTCCCTTCCGCCAATATATAATATGAGACCATTAGGTAAAATTTCTACGCTGTAATCAATGCGCGGGAAAGGTACATTCGCAATTGATCCCGTTGAATAAGACATCGCTATAGTATCAATAATGACCATATCGTTGAACCATATAGGAGTGGGTGATCCTGTAAGATTATTCGTCGCTCCTCCAAAGAGGTAAATCTTTCCATTGTTATCATGAACAGCGTGCATTTCTCTTCGTCTCGATGGCTCGGTTCCAGATAAAGTTGGTTTTTTCCAACTCGAGGATTTAGAATCAAACATATAGGTCATTCCTAAAAAGGTGTCAGTGTTCGTGACTGGGTCTCGAGTCGCACCTCCGAAAAGAAACACCTGGGTGTTGTCTACACCTCCAACAGAAGCTGTTGCCCATGAACTCCCGTAAGGAATAGCTGCAGTACTCGTAAGGTCGGTCCACGGAGGGGAGCTAGTGTCGAAGTTGCCACTTACATCTAAATAGTAAACATAATTATATGCGTAGGCATCCACTTCTGTTAGATGAAGTCCACCAAAAAAATATATCTTGTTGCCAATTAATGCTGTCGAATGGGCATAAGTTGAAGGCGCAATAAACGCTGAGTATAATTGAGTCGCCAGCTGCAATAATAAAAATAGTATAGGCAAAAATTTTATATAGTACTTCATCTTTAGGGATTTTCGAGTAGAGAAATGAAAAGTGCAGAAAATTTACAGAAAAATTGATTACACTATGTTTTATAACAATTTTTTTCGGGGTACATGAAAACGTTGAATCAAAAGGGTCATGTTAATATTGTACAAATCTGACACCTCAATGTGGCTCCTTATTGTTTACTTTCCTATCTGAAATACCGCATAAAGGCATTTCCTTATACAGTACGTCTGAATTTTCTCTCCTGAGAAAATTAAATGTGCACATGAAAGAATACATTTGTGCGACCCAATGCATTTTTCGAGAATGTCGTTTTCAAACCCAATAAAAAAAGAATGAAAAAGAAGAAAAAAACAAAACTCGGCTCTAGGCCAGATGATTATTGCAAAATTTTTATTTCTTACGTTCTGAAACTTAATGATAGTCATGTGATGGCATTTCTTAATCTTCTAAATTAAAAGTCTGTATCCTATAATCGTCTCGATCACTTTGATTTTCATTTCCGAACTTAATATAGTAAAAAGGCATATATGAATTAAATACAAAGCCTATTATGTACAACATTCTGTTCAAAAAATTCGATTGTGATAATCAAATTCGTAGAATAATTAAATTTCTTCTGCACACAATATATTATTGGTTAATCACAACACGAGTGCATGCCCATTATTGGAAGGAATGCGGGTATGCTGTATAAGCACCCATTTTTCAATTCATATAAAAATAGTAGATGCGCGATGTCCAACGCCGGAAATAACGGATGCAAAAGCCGCAGTACTTTGAATTTATAATTGTGCGGTCAATTTTTCAAATGGTTTTTGGTTTGGATCAAATTCTTATCGCTTATTGTAGACGATCACCAACGCATTAACGGAACAGGATCTTACGTGTTTAATTAATAATAATAATATTTTTTTTTTTTGATTGCTTTGCCAGAAATTTCGTTATTTATACGCATGTCTATTTATGCAATATACATAATAAAATATACGCATATATATTTCTTTCAATATAAATCAAGTTTGTGTCATGCTAATACACTGTACACAGTATCTTGTTATTTTATTTATTATCTTTTCTTTTTTCTTTTTCTTCCTTTTTCATCAAAACAAAAAATGAGTAATCACTTTTCGAGTGCTTGGTCTGTATGACATTTCGTCATCTAATGCTTCATTTTTCACGGATTTCAATTCAAAGTTACACTTTCCGTAATTACAGTACTATAAAAGTCAAGCATATTCAAAAATTATTATAAATTTTATAAATAATAATAAAAAAGTATATTTTTATTGCCAATATTACGTATTATGTATAGAAATCGACAAGCAAGCATAATAAGAATTTTCATCAAAAAGCCTATCATTAATTATTAGATAGCATAACAGATAAGATGGCAATTTTATTATCGTTAATGAAGGGTTTATCAAATAATTTTTTTAAAAAATCGCAAATAAATATACTGTGTATATACAATATAATACCTACTTAAGTCTTTGAACAAATATTTTGAATAATGAATGACTATTTATTTAATTGATGTAAAATTTTTAGAATATGTTTATAAAATGGAAAAAAAATTTTTTATAATAGTTTATTAATCCATTTATCTTTGATTTTATAGTCGAAAAAAAAATTGAACTATAAAATATTTTTATCAATTTACATATTGAAATTTATCATACACATTAATTATAAAATCTATTTTTTCAAAAAAAAAAATTATGATAAAATAATTATAAAATAATTTTCTATTATGCACAAATTGATCTTATCAAGAAAAAATTTCTAGTATCAAGTAAATTTCAATATGTTGTTATTATTAAAATTAAGCTATTTATTAAATCTTTTACAAAAAAAACAATAATACTGTATATGATAGACTGTATTAATTTCTATTAAAAAAAAACCTTTTCTATCGATACTTTAAATTTCCAAAAATCGTTTCTTTTGATAATTTTTTTGAAAAATCAAAAAGTAATACACAAAAAACCAGATAAAGATGATATGCTCTTAAAACTATATATTAACAACAATTTTAACTTTATACTTAAAATAAACAAATAATATTTTATTATAAAAAAAAAATAAAAAATAAAAACCAATTTAAAAAATTTCTTAATATTAATTTTTTAATTCTTAATTTATTAAATAAATTTTGATATTTTTTACAAAAAATTTAAGTTAAGAAATTTAAAAATATAAAAAACAATAAATTTAACTATATTATAAAAAATTTATGCAAGTATTCAAGTATAAACAAAAAATATTTAAAAATATATAAATAAAAAATAACAGTATATATCATGTATTTTTTTAAATTATATTTTTTAATAAAGGTATCTTATCAATAATTTTTAAAAATATCTTATTTTTTTAATGTAACAAAAATATTTTTTATTGATAAAATCTTTAATAAATAATATTTCTTAATTAATTGTATATACTGTACATAAAGTTAATATTAAATCTATTTAATTGTTTTGTATTAAAAAAATAATAATAACATGTTTTTAATTATTAAAATGTAAAATATATTTTATTCATCTTATAATTATTTAACTAAAAAAAAATTTATTCTTACAATATTTTAACTTGTAAAAAATTTTCTTTTTTAATGATAATATAAATAACAAACAATTAGTAAAAACCTTTTACAAAAAAAGAAATTTATTTTTGCTTATTACAAAATGCAAGAGATCAATTAACTTTTTATAAAGGAGTAAATGGATACTTTAAAAAAAACAAAAATATTTTTGAATAAACACTTTGTTTTTTCAGTAAAATTCATATAAGCAAGTTTCAAATTAAAAAAAACTCTTTTATTTATTTTTATATTAAATATACTTGATTTTTACTCAAAATCTTTATTATTCTTTTTTTAATTTTACATTAGCATTTATCTTTAAATTTTTATTTATTCTAAAATAGTCTTGCATTACAGATCTGTTGTTACATTTTTAATACATAATACATTTATTATATCTTTACTATTTCTAAAATATTTTTACTTTATTTTATCTTTATTCTCTATATTATCTTTATCAAAGTATCTATTTATATAAATATTATTAATTTTAGTACATTTTAAAAATATTATTATATCATATGGGTTCTTTTAAATAAAATATTTTTCTATTACTAATTCTTTGTTTTTATCTTTTTTTTTTTGAAATAGAAATAATATATAACAATATTAAAAAATATTTATAACTTAATTATTCCCAATATATCTTTATTTGTCAAATATCAAGCCATATTTAATAAGTAAACATGTCAGCAAACTTGTATAAAATAGTTGCAATACCTTTATATAATTAGTATGATTCTGAAAATTAAAATTAAATAGAATTATAGAAAATTACATAAGGTTCAGAACATTATTAAAAATGATGGTGGAGTATATTTTATCTATTAAATTTAATATAAACTTGAAAATTAAATACAGAATTGAAAAGAATTATTAGGATTCTAATTTATATGAATCACTCTTTCCCAGACGCATCAAATTTTTTGAAAATTTCCTTTTTTAGTAATCTTTAAAAATTTTGAGAAAAGGTAAACAAAACGTCCTTAGGGGCTTCTCCCCCAAGGCAAAACCCCCAGATCCAGCACATGCCCTCTTGGACATTGTCTTAATCAACCCAAGCAAGCTCCTGTTTGCTGTGGTTTACATGGAAATCGCTTCACGAACTATCCTTATTTCTTTACCAGGAAAAAACATCTCAATCCCTCCACTTATCAAGTGCCCCAAACACTGGATAGTACCGGTGCAGGAGAACTCCCCACAACAGCAGGATGACATCCCAACCATCTATATTGAATTCAACACCTCAAAAACCACCAGAGCCACCCATCAAGCATTCACCATAGCAACGGCCAGCAAGCCCAAAAAGAAATTCAGCTGCCACCTGGAGGAATTCTTTGTCTACCAGGATAACAACAAGCTGGGACAAACCGATAGGGAGCAAATAGCACAAAAAGTCATCAACAGCAATCTCAACTACAACTGGCACCTATCTTGGAATCAAATCAACATTATCAGCAAGGAAAACAACACATATCAATTGGAAAGAGTAAAGGAAGCAATCACCCACCCTCCTCCAAATACTCCAGTACAGGAGGACGACTTTCTCACAATGCTAGACAACTCTGGAAATTCTAATTCTCACACAATTGAAATCCCCCAACTCAAAAAAACCACAAACAGTTTACCCCCATCAAATGATCAACAAGGCGGTACAGTTACATCAGGCATGCAGCCCACACATGCCAGGGACCAGAACAGCAATGTAACAACACACAATCAACGAGACACAGGTGACATGATACAAGTCGATGATTTTCAACCGGCAGTTACTCCTGACGCCAATCAGGATAAATCAGGCAGCACTATCAGACCAACAAGCCCGGTCTCAGCAATTGACATATCCATGGATCCCATGGGACAGGAAATATCACTGGGTAATACAGACTCTATAATCAAGTTCAACAAACAGGTGCAAAGAGATCTGGAGGAGCTCTAGAACCCATCACTGGAGCAAGAGCACGCCCTCACAAATCAGTTAGCAAAAACAACAACCCCAAACAATAAATGCCCAGCTCCCTCAAATGGAAAAGCAAGCCTAGTAGGTAACTTGATCAACACACCTGAACCATCCACTACATCAAACAGTTTAACAAACTCCCCATCCATACAGTCACAGGATCCAAGAGAGCTAAGAGTAATGAATCTGCTCTTGAAAAGCGATCCCAATGCTCAACAAGCAATGGACGAAGAGCCAATTAAGCAAACAATCAATAATGATGCACTATTTGTAAGTAAACATGACATAATTATTGAACTAGCAACACAACTGAGCCAGTGCCGAACAAATGCCCAGAAAGTGATCAATACATTTACAGAAATTACAAGCAGACCCAAGGGATCAATTATACACACCCCTATCATAATTTACCGAAAAAAATTATGTAATAATTTTTTTTTTATTTTTTGACATTTTTATAATGACGTGTAAAAAAAAATTTTTTTATTAAAAAATAAAAAATTTTTTTTTAAATAAAGCTTAAATTCTTTAATTTTAATAATTAAAATTTTAGAATTCTAATTTAATATTTCGTATGTTTGCCTTTGGCCTTTATAATTTCCTTTA